GGTAGACAGAAGACAATGATCAAGCGATTTGTCTCATGCCATCCGTCTCCAGCCTCTGACAAACAGAGGCCAGGGACACCATTTCTACCCCCTGGCTAATAGCCTTTTATGGACCTAACCTCCATGAATTTATCTAGCTTCTCTTTAAACTCTGTTATAAGTTCTAGCCTTCACAGCCTCCTCTGGCAAGGAGTTCCACAGATTGACTATGCGCTGTGTGAAGAAGAACTTTCTTTTATTAGTTTTAAACCTGCTAGCCATTCATTTCATTTGGTGTCCTCTAGTTCTTCTATTATGGGAACTAATAGATAACTTTTCTTTATCCACCCTCTCCACACCACTCATGATTTTATAGACCTCTATCATATCCCCCCTCAGTCTCGTCTTTTCTAAACTGAAAAGACCCAGTCACTTTAACCTCTCCTCATATGGGACCCGTTCAAAACCCCTAATCATTTTAGTTGCCCTTTTCTGAACCCTTTCCAAGGCCAAAATATCTTTTCTGAGGTGAGGAGACCACTTCTGTACACAGTATTCAAGATGTGAGCATACCATAGTTTTATACAGGGACAAGAAGATATTCTGTCTTATTTTCTATCCCTTTATTAATAATTCCTAACATCTTATTTGCCTTTTTGACAGCCACAGCACACTGTGTGGATGTTTTCAGAGAACTATCCACGATAACTCCAAGATCTCTTTCCTGATTTATCATAGCCAAATTAGCCCCCATCTTATTATATGTATAGTTGGGGTTATTTTTTCCAACGTGCATTATCCACATTAAACTTCATTTGCCATTTTGTTGCCAAATCACTCAGTTTGGTGAGATCTTTTAGAAGTTCTTCACAGTCTGCTTCTGTCTTGACTATCTTAAACAGTTTAGTATCATCTGCAAACTTTACTGCCTCACTGCTTGCCCCTTTCTCTAGATCATTTCTGAATAAGTTGAATAGGATTGGTCCTAGGACTGACCCTTGGGGGACACCATTAGTTATCCCTCTCCATTCTGAAAATTTACCATTTATTCCTACCCTTTGTTTCCTGTCTTTTAACCAGTTCTCAATCCATGAGAGGACCTTCCCTCTTATCTCATGACAATGTAATTTACACAAGAGCCTTTGGTGAGGGACTTTGTCAAAAGCTTTCTGAAAATCTAAGTATACTATATCTACTGGATTCCTCTTGTCCACATGTTTGTTAACCCCTTCAAAGAACTCTAATAGATTAGTAAGACATGTTTTCCCTTTACAGAAACCATGTTGACTTTTGCCCAACAAATTATGTTGTTCTATGTGCCTAACAATTTTATTCTTAACTATTGTTTCGACTAATTTGCCTGGTACCGATGTTAGACTTACCGGTCTGGAATAGCCAGGATCGCCTCTAGAGCCCTTTTAAAATATTGGTGTCACATTAGCTATCTTCCAGTCAGTAGGTACGGAAGCCGATTTAAGGGATAGATTACAAACCACAGTTAACAGTTCTGCAATTTCCCATTTGAGTTCTTTTAGAACCCTTGGATGAATGCCATCCGGTCCCGGTGATTTGTTCATGTTAAGTTTTTCTATTTGTTCCAAAACCTCCTCTAATGACACTTCAATCCAGGACAGTTCCTCAGATTCATCACCCACAAAGGACGGTGCAGGTTTGGGAATCTGGAGGGAGGGTCCCAACTATGGGATGGTTTCCCTCTGTTCCCATTGAATGCTCTGCTCCCCTGAGCCTTTCATCCTCCTTAAGAGCGCTGGGGCTGTCAGACTGGGGGTGTGACAGTACTACAGTATCCCGGAAAGTGACATCAACATAGCTCTCTGCCTCCCTTAGCTCCTCCAGTTCAGCCACCCTGGCCTCCAAAGCCCGAACTCGGTCTCTGAGGGTCAGGAGCTCCTTGCAACGGGTGCACATATACGCCACCTGCCCGCATGGCAGGTAATCATACATGTTACACTTGACGCAATAAACAGGATAGCCCCCCACTCTGCTGCTGGGCTCCTGTCTCCATTTTTCTTATGAATAAGTTTAATTATAAACTGGGCTTCTTTTTAAATGTCTGGAATATAGATTATTATAAAAGTTATGTTTAAAGAAGGTCAGAAGTCACTAGTGCCCTCTAACCTCCCCCTCTAAACTCCCTCTCCAAACTCCCTGTTTGCTGCTACTGTTCTCAGGCTCCCTGGTTGCTGACTCACAGCTTTATAAAGCCCTAGTAGCCCCGCCCCCTGACTACGGCTCAGCCAATTAACAGAGGCTTCTAGATTTCAAACCTTTAGAAGCTCACAGCTTCCAGCTGCCGGCCACAGCACACGCTCCTTCAAACAAACAAACAAAACAAACACAAGCTCAGCACACAGCAAGTAACTCCCCCTCCCCCCATACACACACCTCAGACAGCCACGTACCACAAGGGTCCCGTATTTACTCCTCCTTTACCTAGGGAACGCCCTCTCAAAACTCCCTATTTGTCGCTCTTGTTTCATGAGGCATAAGAGAGTGGTCAACAAAAGGCTTCCCCATCAACCGATCCACGTCTTGACGCGCGCTCTTAATGCACAGCGTGGCGGCCATTTTTATTTTACTGAAGCCAGGGATATTTAAATCCCCACTTCATTGACTATGTTGGGTAGCCTATTTTACATGCCTCTGTCGGCAGAGGCATGTAGTCTAGACGTACCCCTGGAGAATGGACATCCCTGTGGTTCCATGTGGAAGTGTCCTATGGAATTGAATTTGAGTGACAACAACAGGGATCTTCTACAGAAATAAAATAGAATTTTATAGAAATTACTATGAAATCCTATGGGATTTACAGACTTTTCTATAGGTTTTTAAAACCACACTAGAGATTCCAAGAGCGGAAATATAATTTTCTATTACATTATATAAGATAGTCAAAAGACTAATAGAAAAATTATTCTTTATTGAATTCTTTGGGAACTGTTCACTGAGATTTGGACATGAGGGAAGTTTTGTATATGTTCAAAATCTACAGCAATCACTGACTTGATCACATAAGGGAGAAGGTGAGTCATCAGACTCTGCCTTTATAAATTATGAATTTATCTTACCATGGCTGCTGAAGGAAGAGTTTCCTATCACAGCACAGAATGGCCTCCAAAGTGCCACTAGGATGTGTACCACACAAAAGCCATTAGCAGGAGAGGTGAATGTGGATTGTTTCTGAATCCCGAAATAGAGAAGAGTGAGATAATCTGCCTTACATATACATCTCATTCTGTTCTCTACTAGTTAGAGGCTGGCACTGTGGAGATTGTAATTTCTTAAAGAATATTGACAGGAATAGAAGAGCAAGGAAGCCCAAGGTCCTGCTATGATACTCATGGGCTGCATGATTTATAAGAGCTGCAAACATCTATTAAAAACAGCAAAAGTTACAAGTTTTTTAGGTTTAGTTGTAATTGTACCTTGCTTTTAAGAACATAAGAATTTCCATATTGGGTCAGACCAAAAGTCTATTTAGCACAGTATCTTGTCTTCTGACATTGTCCAATGCCCGGTGCCTCAGAGGGACTGAACAGAACAGTTAATCATCAAGTGATCCCTGTCGCCCATTCCTAGCTTCTGACAGACAAAAGCTAGTGATGCCATTCCTGCCCATCCTGGCTAATAGCCCCATGCATATATCTGTTCTTTTTTTAATATGTATGCACCCTCTCCACCCCACTCATGCTTTTATAGACCTCTATCCTATCCCCCCTCAGTCTCCTCTTTTCTAAACTGAAAAGTCCCAGTCTCTTTAGCCTCTCTTCATATGGGACCTGTTCCAAACCTCTGATCATTTTAGTTGCCCTCCCCTCTCCCACCCTCTCTCTTCCCCTCTCCCACCTCCTTTTCCCAGTCTCCCCGAGTTTTGTTCAATAAAGAGAGATTCTATTTTTGACCACACGTTTTCTTTATTTTGTACATCAGGAAGGGGGGCTAGGGAAGGGTAAGTGGAAGGAGGTGAGGGAGGAATGAGGTACGAGCCCCCGATGGGGAGGACTGGGCTGGCTCTGCGGGTTTCTGGGGGTGGAAGCTCTCCTGCAGCCCCCCGATTGCCCCCTCTGGAAAGTTTTTGTGCAAAATCTTGCTAATCTAGATGCACCCTAACAGTTTTCAGAGGGTAGAGGCTCTTTTTCAAGGTTCTGTACTCCCACTGAGACTTCTAAAGTCATGGTTAAGTGTAAATCATGTTACAGCCAGTAGTTAGTACTCTGCACTATCTTTAGGTGATTGAAAGACTTATCATAAGGCTGACATGTTCAGAATGCAGAACATTTAGCCCATTTTGAGGGATGGAGAAGGAAAGTGCCTAACTTCACACAGCAGCCGTATGAATTAAGCAGTTGAACTGACTAGTTCCAAAGGGAGTCCATCTGGTTTCTTTTTGGGCCAGAGCCTGCACAGAGTCTTAAAAACAAAGGTATGTGTCGGGGGAGGGGGAGCAGGAGGGGAAAGAGACATCTAAGCGTTAGGGATCGTTTAGTAGCTCCATAAATATACTGGAAATGGGTTAATTTCTCAGATCTGTCTCTTTCTTTCCTGCTTTGAAGGAGAAAAGAGCATCTCAGATGAAAGCCGAAGGTTGCCTGACTGGATTTACCAATCAAATTGATGGAACATTCATTCAGAAGTAAAGTTGTCCTTCATTTTTCTGGTGTTGCAATTCAAAATTAATTGGTTGTGCTGTTTGGGATCTGCTACAAAAAAACCCAAAAAAACTTGCACCAAAAAAGTGCCCAATTTAAATAACATCCAGGATGAGAGACACTCTTCTATTACAAACCAGGTAGCAGAAAATAAGTAACTATCACAGCTTACTCTGCCTTATATTCTTTGAGGATAGCAGAATAAGCATTGTGGGAAGAAGATCATTCAATAGACCTAGAGTAGTCTACTATTAGCAAGATATTGGGAACAGAATACTTTGCCCCTGAGAAGCAGTAGAAATGATAAAATTAACACAGATCTGTTCACAATAAATGAGGCAGACACAAATGTTGAGATTGTTTCCTTTATTGATGTTTTTCTACAAATAGTGCTTGGGAGCAATTACATTAAAATGCCTACAACATTGCTTTGGTGACCAGTAAATACAGCAGGAGATGGGAAGACTTTTGCAAATGGAACTCTAGGATACAGAAATGGATACAGGAACTCCTGAAACAGATGAGAAAAGAGTTATATAAGGCTGAGATTACTTAACACCAATAATATTATGAAACTACAAGATAGTGTATTAAATTTTACACTGTGTGAATGCTTTCTGTATACAGTAAGCCTCAAAGGGTGTATCTAGATTACATGGCTCCGTTGACGGAGCCATGTAAAGTAGTTTACTCGACATAGTCAATGAAGAGGGGATTTAAATAATCCCCTCTTCATTAAAATAAAAATGGCCGCCGCGCTGTGCCGACAATCAGCTGATCCGGCACAGCGCGGCAGTCTAGATGCGGTGCGGTCAACAAGGGAAGCCTTTGTCGACCGCTTCGGTATGCCTCATGAAACGAGGTCTACCAGAGCGGTTGAAAAAGGCTTCCCTTGTCAACCGCGCCGCGTCTAGACAGCCGCGCTGTGCCGGATCAGCTGATTGTCGGCACAGCGCGGCGGCCATTTTTATTTTAATGAAGAGGGGATTATTTAAATCCCCGCTTCATTGACTATGTCGAGTAAACTACTTTACATGGCTCCGTCGATGGAGCTATGTAATCTAGACACACCCAAAACAAGGATGCTATAAGGATGCAAGAACAGCATACAATTTATTGAATATTATTGAAAAAATGAACATATTCAAGAGCTTAGCCTTTTCAGTGCAAAGTGAACAAATCCTGGCTTACAATTTGGATGAGGTTTTTCAAAGCTCTCAGCATTTGCTGAGCTTTTGACTGAAGTTAATGAGTTTTCCTATGGGTCTGAGCAGGAGCAGAGTTAGTGCAGTGCTGAAAGATTTGAAAAGCCCACCAGTGACGTGCCAGTGACCTACACCTTGAACAGAACACTCACATCATGGACATGACTGCTGTTCTTTTGGATAGATGGTAAAAGTGGCGACAACACTGCAACCAAGTGGAGTTGAAGGAATCGTTGCTCACTCCACACATGGTTATGCACGAGCACTGCTCGAGCAGGTGCGTCTGTATCTTGGAACAAAGGACAGTAGCAATGTGGCATTTGCTTCCTTCTGCAACCCACTCACCAGTTGAGTCACACAGTATCTTGGTAGAACACGCCCTCTGGCCCCATCCTTGTTTGTGTTTGACTTGATCTGTTCCTTTGTGGATTCCCACTGCAGATGCCACCTAGTGGAACACACTGCATCTTTGGTTTACCAGCAAGGATCTTCCTTGGGGCTCTTGGTGCCTCATGGCCTTGCATCCTCCCCCCTCACTCCTTCCTTCCTTCCCCCCAGCATTTTGCTCATAGTAACAATGCCCTTTTCCTTTCAAATTAGGTTGAGTCACGAAGGCAACACTCAATCCTGGTGGCTGTAGAGTCCCTAACACATGTCAAGTATCGGCTGATTTCCAAAAGCCATATTACAGATGGCCACCTTGGGCCCAAGAAGACTTCAGTTTAAAACACATGGGGTGAGCAGTGCAGAATGTTCCCTGTATATGACTGACTGTATGCCAGTTTTCCTATCACATGAACCATTGGTTCTACAACTAACTTTAAATAAGACATTGCATCAGAGAAGCCTCTTGATTAACCAAACATGTTTACAAATACATATGAAATAAGAAATGACAAACCTTACTAGAATATTCCCAGTTCTTTCCTTATGTTAATATCTCTCTTCAGCTGACAAAGAGAACATGGAGCGCAACATAAAGCAGTGCAGCAATCACAGAGGAGGGTTCCCTAATGAAAAAGAATTAAAATATTACAGGCTGTAGCTTTCAGAAGATGTACATCTAACATGTATTGACTTCACTCCATTGACTGGACCTAAGATCAGGTCCATGTGGGCTTTCAATGCTGCCTTTGAGTGACAGGGACATTATGGAAACCATTTAAACAACTTTTATCAAAGGATTTTTGTCAACCACAGATAATAAAAGAGGCCAAGACTTATTTGCTTATCTAACTTCATGGTTTACAGGATCTTTCAAAAAAGGGTTTATTTTTCGACAGATCTATGTCTAGACTGCCAGGGTGTGTAGTTTTTTTTTTCCCCCCTGAAAAAGCTCCGTTTTGGAAAAAAGCGGAGGCCATGTTTATGCTAATGAAGCACGAGATATTTAAATCCCTGCTTCATTAGCAATTTCAACGTGCCTAATCTACATCTCTCTGTAGACAGAGGTGTGGTCTAGACGTACCCTATGAGGCCAAGACTTATCTGCTTATCTATCCCATGTCCCTGCTATTAGAAGCTGAAAAAAAGGAGTACTAGTTGCCTGCTGTAGGAGGAAAAGAGACCAGGCTGCGGGTACCAGCTGCCTCTTAAGAGGGCTGATTTGGACATCAAAGAACCTATTTACTCAATTTAAGAAGCAGATTTGAACAGTTGAGGCTTATCCAATAACAGTCACACTTCAGCAACTAGATAGCAAAGGAGAATAGCGATTGGACGCCCTTCTAGATTAAGCTAGTCCAGCTCCCTACCTGTGCGGGATTATGCTTTACAAAATGTTTGTGGAGATTTTGTCAGTTTCCAGTTCATATGTCTGCAAGTAATGACTTTTCAGCCCTTAAACTGAAACACTTCTCTACAGTTTACTCCCTTTTTGTGTTAGGAAGATATTAACCTTTAGTTTTCCTTCTCTCACCTTCATCCTATTAATATTTCTTATACCACACTGTAAAATATTGCTCTACACCTTTCAGACTAACTATAATCCCCTGTATTCCTGATTGGCCAAACTATATATAGTAGCTCTTAATTTTCTTTAGAAGTCAGTGCTGCTATTCTCTGCTTTCCTTCCAGTTCATCTACATTCTTTTGGTATTGAAGATATTACACTCACTAGAATCACACAGAAGAACTCTTGCCTTCCAGCTTTGTTACTAAGGGACAGGTTTTTAAAAGATTTTGGCTCCTAAGTGGCTAGGAGTGCACATCGCTCAGAAGCTACTGTGAGCATCTCTGAAAATTTGGATAATTAATTAGGTACCTAAACAGGAGCTGAGTTGTTTTTTTTAAATCCAGCCTATAGTATCTCATATGCATCCCAAAATGTCAATGGCCTTTTGAGGTTGCTATATTATATTTGTAAGCTTATGTCTAATTTGCTCACCAGTTTCACCCCAAAAGTATATTTCAGTGTTATTTCTTTCTATATGTTCCCACCAACAGAGTATCTGAGGTTTGGGTTATTCTACCCTAGAGACATTAAGCTGTATCTCATTTTTCGATATCCATGAAAAACATTATTGAACCCACCACCCTGTGCTACCCAGGCCAATGCCCTATCCTCTAAGGCACATGAGGACCTAACCCACCTTCCAGGTACCCCTTATCCTACCTTCCCTGGAACCTGCTCCTGGATTTAGGGGACTAGAACACCCACCCTATACTCCTCAGGCAAATGCTCAAACTGCTAAGCCATGCCAGGACCCACCCTGCTACCTTACCTTCTGGGTGTCTTTGAAATCCATTGTATTAAAAATGCAAAGTTTACACAGTAATTATATATTACTTCTTAGGCAGGAGACATGACCAATGTAAATTTTGGGAAGTGTTGGGAGCTTCAGAAGACTAGGCTGAACTATGTGCCTGACCAGAAATAACTTTGTGTACAGAGTTAAATGGGTTTCCTAGGGAATACCTAGAGGGAAATCATGCAAATTCCTATCTGTAGAAGCTACAGAGAGGACTATCTTCCGATTACCTGTTCCCGGAGTGTGAAGCCGTATAAAGGAAAGTCTGAACTATTCACAGCTCATAGGCTGTTATGAATTTGTGCCCTGCGAAAAGCCCCTTTGTGCGGTTTGAAAGACTGATACTTCCCAGAGCCTTTGTTAGAGCAGGGGATCATCTCTGGTAAGCTTATTAGCATGTTCATATGTTCTTTACTCTTTTAACAGGGTAAAATTGCAGAAAAAACCACAGCTTAGAGGAGCTGTGTAGTAAACTGATACCCATGTGCAATTCTAGCTACTCATAGCAAAGTACACACAGGTCTATTAGGTAGTCCAGACTGCTCGAGATGTCACAATGTAAGCAGGGGGAACGTGCAGTCTGGAAATACATCTCTCTCTCCTTTTTGACCAGGGTATCTTTGCCTTAAGCTTCCCAATCCCCAGCTGCCATCTGTCTCAGAGTGGGTGTCCTCAGTGCCCCAGAGGGGGAACACAGTGCACGTTCCTCTAAACTGAGATACTAATATTACGGCCTTAGTCCCTCCTTGTTATTCCTCCTCTCACTGGTGTTCTGCACATGTTCTTTTGAGTATGGGCTGCACAGAAGAATAGATAGTAACTAACAGGGATCCTGTATCTTGACCGGTAGAGCGTCCTCATGGCAACGCTTGCACCACAACAGCAGCATTCTCCCATGTCTTTTGCAACTTTACATCCAAGACAACAGAAACCGAATGTTCCACATGCGCCTGCACAAAGAGAAAACGACAAATGGATGTTGGCCCCACTGTTTATGCAGGCAGTTGACTTTCATTACCACTTTAAGGGAAACACAGAAGTGCCTAGATAAACAAGAGAAAGTTAGGTGTGTGCCAAGGGGCCAGAGCCCCCAGAAAGGAAGGCTGGGTCATTGAGAGACCTCCGCAGTGATGTTACATGAGGCTGTTACCTCAGCTGCAGCTCTCTCCCCTCATAACAAATTAAGTAGCAGGTGACAGACTTATGGCATCACCTTTCAGGTTCCTCCAAAGAATGGGAAGAAAGGATCTAATAACCTGGGATCTCAGAATGAACTTTAGAGAGCAAAATACATTGCTGATATTTGAGTTTCATACCATAGTGTTTGACTGGAAGTTGGAACACTAGCTGGTTTTGTTAGTATAGTGGGTAAACTTGGTTTGTGTTTAGTCCATGTAGATCAGGGGCGGGGAACCTTTTTTGGGTTGAGGGCCACTGACCCACAGAAAAATCGGTCAGGGGCTGCACACAAGTGAGAAGAAAAAAAAAATCAAACCAAACCCTGACTGATGTGGCCCCTGACTGAGAAGGAGAAAGATACTCCCCACATTCTCCTCACAGAGCAGAGCGTTTGGAGGCCCAGGCCAGTGGATTTTGTGTGCTCCAACCCCACAGGAACACCATTGCGGGTGCCCCAATACTAGGGGGGAGCCCTGAACCTTGGCTGCTGGATCCAGGCAAGCTCAGGGCCACATCCACCCCCCAAGCCTGAGGTTCCCCATCCCTGATGTAGGTCTTAGGTTAACATTTTGATTCTAAAATAAACCATGTTCTGTGTGTTGAACTATTCCTTGGAAGAAAAAAAGGATCATTTCAGAATAGGGTCGTCTCTCACCAGGCCTGTAATATGGGGGCTTATGTTTTAGGCTTCCATCCTACTGCAGGTAGCAAGTATATTTAATCAGAAATAATGTGGTATAAGGGTTGAAAGTCTAACATGAAGGTTTCTGTTTAAAATAAGAGCATCTGGTGTGAAGTTCTCCTTTAACATAAGTACAGGTTGGACCTCCCAAAACCGGGATGCCCTCATCTGGCAACATCCATGGTCTGGCAGGACTACGGGTGTTCCTGGACCAGGGAGTCCTGGCTGGGACCCCCAGTGGCAAGAGGGCTGGTGGCTTGAAGCCTGATGGGGCTGGAAGTGGGGCTGGAGCTCTGGTAGTGCAGCAGGGGCCATGGCAGCCCCAGTACCAGGGCTGGGGATGATGCAGTCATGGCAACTGAGCTAGTGGAGCCAGAGATGTGGCAACCCTGGTAGCAGGGCTGGGGCCAGGGACATCACAGGAGCTGGGGCAGTCTGGTGGCTGAGGCCAGCAGTGGGGAGGGAAAGTGGTCTGGGGAGCCCGAGGTAGGAGACCTCCTCTGGTCCAGCAAATTCCCTTGTTCGGGACTGGTCAGATCTGAGTGTGCTGGACCAGAGAGACCCAACCTGTAGTACACTTTTCCCTTGTTCGGGACTGGTCAGATCTGAGTGTGCTGGACCAGAGAGATCCAACCTGTAGTACACTGTGGAATTGAAAGACCAAGATTTTAGTCCCACCTGTATCTTTTATATTGAATAGTTGCATACAATATAGGTATATTACCATCTGGTATCAGCCCATTAGATCTGTGACCCTCGGTTGTCTGAGTGCTAGTACTTGCTCTGTGTATGTGAATGAATGGTGAGTGATTTGGGACCACTTACTAGAAGCCGTTCTTTTACATTTAAACAGACAAATGCTCTTGCATCCTGATTTAAAGATACTGCCAGTAACAGAGGTGTAACATAAAATAAAAAAATCAAACACCATAACCCTAAACAAAAATCAGATATTTGCATATCCACTTACAGACTTTACAGTCACTGCAGCAGTCAAACAAACCGGTCTGCCAGGAATTACGTGCAATAGAAGCAACACTAAACTGGGGCTGATTCGTCACTACATGATGACAGGCCATTTCTAGTTTCACCAGATCAGTTCAGAAGCTGATATCCTGGAAGGAAAAATAAAAGGAGCATGTGACAGAGTTCTGTTGAGGCACGTCTACGCAGCAGGGCTAAACTCAAAATAAGCTACGCAACTTGAGCTATGCTAATTATGTAGCTTAAGCCGAAATCGCTTATTTCGACTTTTGGCGCTGTCCACACAGCAGTTATTTCATAAGGACATAAGAACGGCCATACTGGAGCAAAGGTCCACCTAGCCCAGTATCCTCTCTGCTGACAGTGGCCAATGCCAGATGCCCTTGAGGGAGGGATCACAACAGGTAATCCTCATGTGTTCCCTCCCCTGTCGCCCACCTCCAGAGAAATGGAGATTAGGGATCCCATTCCTATTCCTCCTGGCTAATAGCCATTGATGGACCTAACCTCCATGAATCGATCTAGCTCTTTTTTGAATCCTGTTAAAGTTCTAGCTTTCACCACATCCTCTGGCAAGGAGTTCCACAGGTTGACTGTGCACTGAGTGAAAAAAAACCTTCCTTTTGTTTCTTTGGAGACAGAGCAGTCTTCTCCCGACTTCCCTTATTACTCATATAATGAGGGTTACAGGAGTCAGAGTAAGACGTCTTCCAGCTCAACATTATTTCGACATTATGTCAAAATAACTGCTTGTACGTAGGTGGACTGTGGTCAAGCTAGGTGCCTGCCAGGCAACGCAATACTAGTGGGTTCATATTTCGTGAGCCTTTTGCTGTGTTTTTAATTCAAAGCCTTCAGCCCCAGACAACTCTGAGGGGGAGGCTACTTTCTAGGTCCTGCCTCGTCCACCCTAGGCCCCACCCCTTTTGGGGGTGGAACTGGCCCCTGACCACATTTCAAAATTCATTAAATAGCCCACCAGCGAAAATTATTGCTCATCCTTGAATTAGGGGAATGTTACTCCCAATGCTTTGTGAAATGGCACCACGATTCTCGTTTTATAAGAAGCCATGCTAGAAAGTCTGGATAATTTTGGTGGGCATTTTAGGCCAAACTGTAGTCAATGGGGCTAGCTCAGATTCTTCAGAGCAGGTTACAAATAGGTGACGTTTGAATAGGAAAAATTTATTTTTCCCTATCATCACATCGGGGCATGGTTCATTCCTGATTCAAGGGAAAGGGTATCACTAACTAAATGGCCAACATGTCTTCCCGCAATACCTAGCAGGTCCTTGCCATATCTAGGGGACTTCAGACCTACAGTGATCTTACTTGGTGTGTGTGTGTTCAAAGACCTTCACAAGGCAAAATACTACAGACACCCCTGCAGAAACAGAAATCTCCCTTGCTGCTGTTCTCCAAACAGAGATTCAAAATCTAGCAGCTAACGGTTGGAAAAAATGATCACTCTCCTTCTCACAATGGCTGTTGCATGTGTCCAGTATGTTGTACATCCATTATGCACTTCTCATATGTTCTGGGTAAGAGACAACAGTTCAGAAGAAACTACAAAAGTAATCCTATTCAGGTAAAATGACATCTCCTGCTAAATGTTCAAAGTGCCCCCACCCTCAATATCACACACTTAAGACAGATCATTCATGTTGAGAGTCCACTCGGGCTCCGAACAGAAAGACCTGCTCAAACGATCCACCAGGCCATTTTGAAGGCCCAGCAGGTGTGGTGCCTTGAGAGGGACTGTGCTCCAAATACATCCACCCTTTGCAGAGCTTGACAGTCTCCTTGAAGATGTCTGACCTGACACCCCACTGTTGGTTCACGGCTGTGGGACAGTCGGCAAGCACCTGGATAGCCTTGCCCTGAGCGTGAGGCAAGAACTGCCAACACACACAAAACATTTCACATTAATGTGCAATGTGGCATGATGGGCTGCCCACTTATCATGATCCTGAAGACTGCCAGATGTGCTGAGATGTCCTTATAGCTGAGACATCCGTTTACCAGTCACCAAAGAGAGAGGGGGAAGAAACTGGGATTCCCCTGCACAGATGTTCTTGACTCACCCGTCATATCAGTGATGATCGTATCCTGTCCCAGACATGCACCTGCTTGCCTAGATGTTGCATATGAGGGTGATAAACTGACTTGAGTCATAACTAGAAAACTCCGAGGTGCAGCCTAGCATGAGGAATGATACGTGTACATGCCTCCATATGACCTAAGACTGAGAACTCCTCATAGTGGTCTGGCAATGGAACATGAGCAAGAGGGGAGCAGGATACACCAAGAAGATAGAAGTTCCATGTGGTATTCCTGACCATGATGATCCCTTTGCTGGATCTGGGAGACTGGCATGCTGCCTTTGACTTCCAGGATCCCTGCTTCAATGCAGTGATCCATCCTAGCCACAGGAGGTTTCTGAGGTACATCATAGGAGACAACCATCACCGTCTGCCCTTCAGACTGTCATGACTGTATGAGTCTATGGGGCCACAGGAGGTTTCTGAGGTACATCATAGGAGACAACCATCACTGTCTGCCCTTCAGACTGTCATCAGCACCAACCATGCACCTAAAGCCTACCTTCATCATAGAGACAACCACCGGTACCCTCGCTGGGAAGACTGGTTAGTTCGTAAGATACAGGGAAGCCTAGACAAGGGTGAAATTCAGGACCGCTTCCAATTAATCCCATCCCCTGCAGAGGCCACTAAGATTTTTTTCTTTGTTCTGAACAGACATTGTTGGGTATGTATGAGTCTATGGGATACAGTGGCCCATACATGGTGTATGTAGCAACTACTGGAGAAGCTTTTAAGTCATGTTAGGGATTGGGTGAACCTACAGCAGAGACCACTGCAGAGGGCATGGGCTGCCAGTCCACCAGTTCTGGCCCTCTGTAGCACCTGAGCCTCTGGCACCAGTGCTGAGCATACTGGGCTGGTGACCATGTGAAGCACTGGGGGGCGGGGAGCACTGCAAGGCACAAACTGAAGCCCAGCACAGGCTCTGTTTCCCTGAGCTGCCAGAAACCTGCCTAGGGACCCCGTAGCTTCCACTCCTCAGCGCCGCCCAATACCAGATACTGCGATGTGCCCCAGGAGTGCTCACCACTACCCTAGACATGCCCCATCTGCTTCTAATCCATGGGCATTTGGGGCAGGTGAAAGCAGAAGTCACCGATTGGAAGCAGCTCTCTCCCCCACACTTTCCAACAAGCACAGACTGGTGCATAGCACAGCCCCAGGGGAAGGCCAGGGCTCCTACAGCTCACTCCCAGGGCAGGTCTTTCCCAGCCACAAGTTGAAACAGCACCTCCTGCAACTTCAGCTGGTTTTAAATAAACATATTTTAGAAAGATTGTAATCTTTTCTTGTTGGGCATCCTGCGTGTTTAGATTGAATTTATTTAACTAATAAAAATAGTATTTTAAAATGTGGGTTTGGTGCATTTTAAATTGCATTTGAATTTCTAGACATATAGGGCAGGATGCAAATCACAAGTAAAAAAAAAATTACCCTCTAGTAAAAAAGAAATGTATCATTTGTTAGAAAATGGCATATAAAAAATTAAGAAGATAAATAAATGTAAGTTAAGCTATATATTTGATTAAGAAAATGTGTATAGACATTTTATAGCCTCCTAGTTAGCAAGAAAGAAAGAAAGAAAGACCAAATTTAGTGTAAACACAAAAATTCCAAATGAATCGGTTTTAATTGTTACCAACCAATGAAATCAACTTTTCTTTAGGAAAATACAAGCTACAAATGCAAATCAATATTACAATTGATTATTTAAAATTAAGGGACCCTGCTTGCTGTGCAAAACCATGATTAAAAATGGTGATGTAAACGTATTTTCTTAAATGAATCCACCCTGATGACAAATGAAGATGTACAGGTCTGGCCAGATTTCCAAAGCACTACTCAGTTCACCTGTTCACTGAGATTGCAGTTGGAGAGTTCAGTGCTCAGGTTTTCCCAGAGGCAATTCCCATTGCTGACTTCCATCTCAAACTCTACATGAACACTCCTACCTTTGTCATCTAGGGGAGAGACCCTGAGTCTCTAAATAGGTCAGATCCCTTTAGATTAAAATAAGATTGAACTGTTATGGGAATTAGTAACAAAGCGATGAGTCTTCCACTGCTAATTTACTAGTGGGTAACCAACTAATACAAATTAGTTGGGTAAGACTTGGCTTTAGTTGTCAATGGGTGTACATGAACACTCCTACCTTTGTCATCTAGGGGAGAGACCCTGAGTCTCTAAATAGGTCAGATCCCTTTAGATTAAAATAAGATTGAACTGTTATGGGAATTAGTAACAAAGCGATGAGTCTTCCACTGCTAATTTACTAGTGGGTAACCAACTAATACAAATTAGTTGGGTAAGACTTGGCTTTAGTTGTCAATGGGTGCAAGCCACAAAATTTAGACTTCCCTGAAAGAGTGGTTCAGGCCAATCTCTGGTTTAGTTCTTTGGCGGTTGAAAAAATAGAGAGGGACTCAATGGACATTAGAGTTATCATTATTGTTTAAAATGCATAGGTGACAGAATGACTTGCTTCAAAAGTGTACAATAAAAAAGGAGAGAGACTTACTCCTCTTTTCAGGAAGCAATTCTTATCTCACAGCATGATTACTTTCACAGTAGGTGTGCTCCAGAAACACTCCCTGACAACCACCTATGTTTATAGAGCAATTGTTCACTTATATTTCCCACCCATGTTGGTGAGACTGAAATGTAAACAGTAATTCATCACCAAGAGCCTCACTAACCTGAGAGTGCTAAAGGTTAAAAGCAAGCCTGCTTTTTCCTATTGCTAAAATAAACTATTGCAAGCTGTAAAAATAAACCTTTAAACTTTCCTTGCCTTCCTGATGGCAAGTAAGCAGGCACTCTCTGAAAAACCAAGAAACTCAAGTCTGGATGATTTTACTAGCATGGCTTTCTGAAGAGCAGAAGCAGGCTGGCCACTTTCAGTCAAAACACGATGGGCAGAATTCTTCTGCCTTGACTGATTTGTACATATTCCAGTATATGTTAACTCAGCGGTACTCAACCTATGGGATTCTATGTGTGGCCCAAGAGATACTTTGTTTATTGTTGCCCACATACAGGGCTGCCTGATTCTGCTGGTTTCCTTCCATTTAGTATTTTCCTACTGTTATTACTAAAGTGAGACACACCTAAAGCAAGGACACATGAAGTGAGGTGCTTGCTGACTGCACACAACAGGGACTGTGAGAGCCGTGTGCTCCTTTGGCACTCAATCAAAGCTGTGGCTCAGTTGGCACACCTTGTAAATTCTAAGCAAGCAAGCACAGGTAGCAAAACTACCCCATCCTGGGAGACTGTCTTGGTTACGACAATCTTGCATCCCAATGATATGATGCGGCCCATTCACTAGCTTAGGTTGCCCATCGCTTCGTTAACTGCTGTGGATATGATTGCATGGGTATAATAGAGTGCTGAAAAACAGACATTCAAATCTCTCAGATTACTCTTTGGTTTCGTAGAGATGTTACTCCACAAATCAATCTTTTAGGTTCTTCCCAAGCACTACAAAGAGTTGCAAAAGTAAAATTAATCCTCCCTTCAGTTCAAACATTATATTGAGCATTCAAATCTCTCAGATTACTCTTTGGTTTCGTAGAGATGTTACTCCACAAATCAATCTTTTAGGTTCCTCCCAAGCGCTACAAAGAGTTGCAAAAGTAAAATGAATCCTCCCTTCAGTTCAAACATTATGTTGATCTCTACACAACTCTTCTCTACACAGACACCAGTGATGCAAACTAACAGAAATAACACTATTGCCAATGACTGGGCATAGTTCTCTGATCCACAGAGCAACAACTCTTCTCTACACAGACACCAGTGACGCAAACTAACAGAAATAACACTATTTCCAATGACTGGGCAAAGTTCTCTGATCCACAGAGCAGATTTTTGCTCTGATATTCTGCCTACTCCCCCAAATCAATTTAGGTCACCTATCATTGTATAGCTGAGCACCATGTACAGTTGTTGTAGACAGACAGTAATCCAAGTCACATAACTAAGCTTGACTAAGAGAAGAATGACCATTATTTGTCTCTAAATTGTTTCTTTAGAAAAACAATAAAAGTAACAGAGGAGTTGTGAGGTAGTGAGAGTTGTGTTCACTCTTGTAGCCACGGTGTTCACTCTGTTTTTGCATTTATTATCTGCTTTGTGATTCCTGTGCTGCTCTGGTGTGTGTGTGTGTGTGAGAGAGAGAGAGATGGCTAGGTAGATATCTCTGGGTGAGACTGCCTGAGGGCAGGCAGGTAGGGAATGGCCCAGGCCAGCCTGTCACCTGAGCTAGGTGGAGGATTCAGTCAGGTGACACTTTGCCAGGGAACCTGAACAAAGGAGGAGGCAGGGCAGCCTGAAGGGCTGTGACCAGTTGCTGGGTGTGAGAGTTAGTTTTCGGCTGGCTTGGGGAGAAGGGAGCCTTGCTGGCCTGGAAGGCTGGGGCAGGGGCCTGGTTCCTGTGTTAACAACGATCCTGTGCTACCCTGTGTCCCTGTCAACCAATAAACCTCCTGCTCTACCTGCTGGCTGAGAGCCCATGCCTGGCTATGGATGAGAGGGCAGGGGCCGGTGACTTCCCCACACTCCGTGGCCATGTTAATCTGTTTCAGCAAAAACTAAAAGGCGTCCAGTGCCACTTTCAAGACTAACCGATTTAATAGGGGATTAGGGCATACGCTTTTGTGAGATACAACTCACTTCCTCAGAGGCTGGAGAGAGAAGAAAACAGAAAAGGATTCCTTTTCTGTTTTCTTCTCTCTCCAGCCTCTGAGGAAGTGAGTTGTATCTCACAAAAGCGTATGCCCTAATCCCCTATTAAATCGGTTAGTCTTGAAAGTGCCACCAGAATCCTTGTTGTTTTTAAGGAAAGTAACACAAATATTATGCTGACACTTACAAGATTAATACAGAACTCTATATACAGTAGTTTCCATGGCACTTACTCCTCAGGGCCATGCACATGCTTTCTCCTTACTTAAGATGTTGCAAAGTGGGTACTCCACAATTGCTAATTCTATAAACATCTCAGCGACTCAACAAGGTTGTGGGTGAAGATCATTGTATCTTCCAAGAGGGCAGAAAATAGGTGAAAGAAGGGTACAACATTGCCTTCTCTTAAAACATGGATAATTTCAAAGCACATTGACTAGAATTCAAGGAAATTCTATCCTTTTTGAAATACAAACAACCAAATTTAAACTATAGCAACATTCATTTTTCAGTAAAAACTACCTCAGGCTTTCTGGGAAATATCAGTTTGGATATATTTGTACAATATGAACAGTAGCTGGCAATAAAACAAACAAAATGACTTTCTGCTCATCAGCATGAGTGCATAATTTTGTCAAATACCCACTAATAGAATTTACAGCCTATTTCATTTTCCCTTAATTGATTTGTTGAACAGAAAACTAAATATTTTTACTCTTTACTAACTTTACTTTCCAGAAATAACTAACTCAGCAGCTACCAAGGTTTCCAGCTTTTAATAAATTGAACTTTTCCAAAGGTGCTCTCAAATTAAACAAAGAAATATGCACATACCACTTGCAGAGCAGTCTTGGAGAGAGAGAGAGATCGCTGTTCTTGGTCCAACTTCAACCAAGTCCTTTTTATATATTCCTTATGCTACACAAATTGCAACACGTAAACTAACCAGGTGGCTTTCCAAAATTGCTTTTGAAGACTTCTCATCAAGGAATTTAATTATAGGAGTTCCCAAATTGACCTGATATTTTGTAAGAACAGTCACCTGTTTTTTCCATCACATAATGACATATGTTAGCTGTAAAAGAAATACATTTTGCAATACCAAGGGTTAGATTTAATCTTGCAAAACTCAGAACTGAAATTCGTTCACACAGTAACTCAAGTCTCTCTTTGAATATATGTTGTCAAGCTTTGACATATACAACAAATGTGGCTGAGGTATAGTTATTATAGGAAAGTAAACTTAAAATGTCTGGGGTCTAGCATGATTAAAACCATATATAAGAATTTTTTTAACTAGAAAAAATGTTGCAACAGAGAAATAATGGAAGAAAGTGATTGGGAGAAAGAAAAAGAGAACAGAAGAAATGAGCATGCAAATATAAAACGATAACAGGTACAATTTTAACACAAGTGGACTTATTCTTTACATCATATTTTATACTGGTTTGACGCTACAGACTGCAGTAACTATTTCTCCAATTTATACTAGTGTAAGTCAATTGAGAACTGGAGCCATAACACAATAAATATATATTTGTAACAAAAAATGAGATTTCCGTAATAATTGTTGCAGCCCAAAAATAAAGATCTAATTATGGTTATAGATATGTTATGATTTTAACGTATCTAGCTCCAGAATTACTACACTGTGTAAGCTGAAATTTTGCCATGGAAGATCGAGACTTGGACCGTCCAATGCTCCTACACAACTTCCAGGAGAATCTGCCCAACTGAAAGTCACTGGAACTTTATTCTTGCTCCTAAAATGTCTAGGTGCTTTTGAAAAATCCCAACCTAAATAACCTGATTATCTCTGGGAAACTCAGAAATCTTTGGAGGAAGATTTCTGGGCCACTATATAAAAAAGTACAGCTCCAGTATTGCTACGGTTACCAGATGGCTTTCAAAAAAATACCGGACACACGTGATCTCAGAACAGCAGAAGGCGGGGAACCGGCTGGGAGGGGAATGGGGCTGGCCTGGAGGGAGCGGAGCTGGTTGTGGGGGGACCGACTGGTGGGAAGCAGGGCTGGACGGGAGGGGGTCGGGAGGAGCGGGGCTGGCCAGGGGAGACTGGAGGAAGGAACTGACCGGCAGGAAGAGAGTTGGCCGGGAGGGGATCAGGGGGAGCG